TCTAAGCTATTAAATATACAATGTGAAGATTCATATGTGTGATCACAGGCTTAGCTAAATGCGAGAATGTGTGTGTGTGTGTATTTGTGCAAACTTAATAGATATTTCAGAGTATTCTAAGAGTTCCTGCCACATATAAATATACCAATAAATGTAGCGATAGCATATCAATAAAATTATTAGTAAAATGATGTACATAATTCTCAAAAATTTAAAAATTCGAAACGGTATCGATAAATTTATGGAAAACACTTATCGATGAAGACAAGTGATGATTACTATCTGGGAACAAGCGAAGAAATTCCTAACCCAAGAGCCATAGATATACAAGCCGATATATATATGTACATATATCGATAAATGCAAAATGGCCGATAACATGCCGATAATGAAATCTATAAAGCAATTTAGTTAAATGCATACATGATGTATAAAGTTATCGAAACGACATCGATTAAACTATCAACAACAATGCCAATTAATATGCCGAAAATGGTATCAATAAAAAACTATAAAACCGCAAAAGGTCTTAACTAAAAATATTAATAAATATATCGATAGTTACTGCGAAATTAAATAATAATTATTAAAGTTATTGATTGAATAGTGTCAAACATATTTTGCTCAAAGGAACTTGAGAAAGGAAAATCGATAATAATATTGGTAGTAAGATCGTTTAGAAAATCGATAAAAATATCGATAACAAACTCAATAAAAATATCGGTAACAAAATATATAAATAATCGATAAGAACAATAACAAAAATCGATAAAAATGTCGATAACAAAATCGATAAATAATAGATAACAAAATCGATAACAATATCGATAACAGTATCAATAACAAAACCGACAAAACCATCGATTATTCTTTAAAATCCCAAAATAGTTCCCAGATTGCGTCTCTGTGCCTCTATCTATATCCTTTTCTATATAATTACCATTATTTTAATCTTTCTTCCTCCATCTCTATCTTTACTTTTATCGGTATCCTCGTGCTCATCTTTTTCTTTATAATTACCTTTGTTTTTGTTTCTGGAATGAGATTTGCCGTCCATCTGCCTCCCTCCTACGCGCTCCATTGCTTCTGCCATAGGGATTGAGTTTGCGTTTCTTGCAATGCTTCCCCTTTGTTTGTGGCCTATTTTCGGTTCCACTACATTTTTCGTTTCTTTGCTGCCAAGTTTATACCATTATCACTGGGATCACAGCCTCTGAAACTGTCCGGTATACTGAGGGCCCTCTTAAAGCCGCTGTTCTTTGTACGGCGGACAGTAGTTTCCTTCTATTTTCAGCTCTTAGCGCGTCTGCCCATATTTTCTACCATGAGAGAGGATTGACGTAGTTGCGTCGATCTGTTCTATCTAAGTGTTATTTGTGAGCATGAAAATCACTTGACATAGAAGTATACTACCAATCTTCTTCATTCAGCAAACCCGAGTAAAAAACTGACATCTCAAAGACAGAAAATAAATTACGTTTTGGTATTCACAAAGCCAAAATGAAACTCATTCAAGATGACGAGGCTCCCGATGCAGACGCGATACAGGAGAGGCTCTTGTAAAAGTTATCTCCTTAAAAGCTTGACTTCTCAACTTTTGGAGATTGAATTTTAATCTACATTTCACAGGTCTTAATCGCACACAAAAGCTAGTACTAGATTGCTCAAACTCAAATACTAAATGTGAGAAGTTTCTTCTCCTTTCTTACTCTTCCTAAGCTGAAGTGAATTGTCAGAGAAACTGCTGAGAGTCATGCTCGCAAATAAATACAATTCCGGACTACGAATGAATTTCGAGCGGATTCAACTAACAAATCCTAACACTGACGGTTTTTCACAAAGCGAGTCCTGTATAAATATTTGTGAATTGCTTTCAGGGAAAACATTAGTTTTTCTATTTTTTTTGCAGTTTTCGATCACAAACTCTCGCTATATGTGTATATGTATTAGTTCCAATAAAGCCAATCGTAAATAGAATTTTTGGTATTTAAAAGCGTATGCATACATGCATCCATATATGTATGTATGTATACATTTCTATCAGCAAACTGTGCGCTTTATGTGTGTTTGTGTTTGCAGCAAAATCACCAGCCGACAGCCCCTCAGGCGGCCGCTATGCCAACAATCGCTGCTAGTGCTGCTTCTGCTGAACACCAACATATAAGCCAACATGTTTGCCACATTGTTAGTCAGCACAAGCGGTTGTTTGCCTTGCGCAGCAACAACAAAAACGACTGAAACATTCAACTCTTGCTTTTATTTGCCTTTTTTTTTGTGGAAAGGCGAGTGTGGCGAGGCATGCGTTAGCATTTGCTTTTCAGTCATCCTTTTCCATTTCTCCTTATCTCATTTTTTGTTATCTTTTTGTTTTTTTGGCTCGCTTCGATTTGTTAATTGCTTTGCTGCTCCGGTTCTTTACCGGTTCTTTTGGGACNATCGTTCCTTCTGCTGTTTTTCCTTATTACTCTATTCTTTCTATCTCTCGTTTTCCTATCTAAAATAAAGGTAGATATAAGATGCAAATATTTTCACTAGATTTAAATTGCTTTTTATGTAATTCTAATTGTGTCAGCGCTGAAATATAGCCAACGGCTGTTGCGTTGAAGCTAAATAAATAAATAAAATAAATAAATAAATAAAGTGAAAATAAGCAACAAGAATTAATAAGACAAATTTAGTACAGTGCGTAGGCAACTAGCTGAGTCAGTGGTGATCGTCGGTTCGAATCCTACTGAAAGAAGTCTGATGAGGAAATGTGGTGATTTCCGAAATAGCTATCACTTCCACCATTTTTTCAAATTATTGTTCTTTTCCACAATAAGTTANGATTGTAAACACTCTGATGTGCTGATGTCCACCTACAGAGTTTCTCAGCGCCATTTTTGCTTAGTTTTTATTTTCATATGTAAACACCAGCAGTGCCTATTTTTAATGGTTCTTATGATTGGACGCGGATAGCACTCCTTCTGGCTGTCGGTAGCCACTATTTCACAGAAGAATTTTTATGGATTTTCGTTAACTAGTCTTCGTCATGCTCATTCTCGTTAGCTCCATCTAAGAAGTGAATTTTAGCCCAACGGAAATAAGTATTTCCAAAACTACGTTTGCTTGAGAGTGTGTAGAGAGTTATGGAATATTTTTTGTTNAAATAAATAAATAAATAAAGTGAAAATAAGCAACAAGAATTAATAAGACAAATTTAGTACAGTGCGTAGGCAACTAGCTGAGTCAGTGGTGATCGTCGGTTCGAATCCTACTGAAAGAAGTCTGATGAGGAAATGTGGTGATTTCCGAAATAGCTATCACTTCCACCATTTTTTCAAATTATTGTTCTTTTCCACAATAAGTTATCACTTAGAACGGCCTCAAGCTCATAAAAATTGTTGAATATAATTGTTATAAGGCCATGAAAATAACAAAAACAATTTAATTTTCTTTTAATCCTTAGGTTTTATTGTTTAAAAAAACATATTTTTTTCACTTGATTTTTGGTATTCCATTTTATTTTTTCTAAATTCATCTAGTCTTTTTAAATTTATTTTTGTTTAAACTTTCGGATTTGATTTTAAAAATAAAAACTTATTATTTTTAATATTTAAGTATTATTCGCTAATTGTTTGATCTAAGATTTTTTCTTTTTCTAATTTAATTTACAGAATTTATTGTTTTAAAAAGAAATTATTTTTTTAAGTATCATTTTCTGCTTTTTTTTTGATTATTAATATTTTTTATTTTTCTAATTTAATTTGTAGTTATTATTGTTTTAAAGCGAAATGATTTTTTAAGTATTATTTTCTTCCTTTTTGATTAATTTTTTTCTTTTTCTAGTTTAATTTGTAGATTTTATTGTTTTAAAAAGAAAATATGTTTTGTTTTAATCATTTAGTGTTTAATTCGAATCGCTCTTCTAGTGTCATTATAAATATTTTAACAACCTTGTCATTCTTGAAACTACCACCGATTCTTTAGATCAAGAAGAAATTAACGGCACTCTAAGATTTTATATGAGAATTGAAGCCGGTTTTTTGCTTAAAAAAATATTTTATTTAATTTTTTTTTTTACTGCTATATTTTCATATCTCTTTTTGTTTTTGTTTGCAATTACAAATGAATTTTCCATTTACCACAACTCAACTTTATTTATTTCTAGTTGCGCAAATAACAGTTGCCTTCGTTTATCTAATTTTCTCATTTACCCCCTTTCGGCTATGGAAAAGCTCAACTAATTAATTCCTTTGTTGCATTTTTTTGCAACATACTTAAATTTTATAAGCAACACACATACATACATACATACATACATGCATAGATTTTTAACGAGCTTAATGCCAATATAATAAAATGCTTTTAAATTATGCGAAACTAAATATTCCCTCCGTTTATTCGCTCACTTTCTGGCTTATATTCTATCCCTAGTCTGTATCTATGGACTTACATAATATATATGTATGTATATGTCTGTAATAAAAAGTTATTTAACTCTATCTCTCATTACTTTCATTTTTATTACAGCTTCCAGCGGCGGAAAAAACAACTGCAACAGCTGGCCTTTGCCAGCAGACACTGTTTAAGTGGAGCAGCAAGAAAGCAACAAAAAAATATAACAACTCAGGATAACTACATAAGTGTTCATAAAAGCAGCAAGCGGCAAGCAACAAGCCATACTGAGGCGAAAAGCGTAAAAACATAAAAGCGGAGAAGTGTAAAAAAAATTAAACTTAACTTGCGAAGGAAAGAAGAGTTTGGAAAGCTGCAAAAAAAGTGTGGAAAAATTAAAAAAAATATGATGAAAATGTTGACGGGCGTGTAAATTTGTAAAGTGGAACTAGCAAAAGTTTAAACAAAGGCTGCGTTCACTGTGAAAATTCAAGGAAAGTTTTGCTTGACAAAGCTATGAGAGTTATCTTCCCAATAGCTGCATTATCGCCTACTGTAGTGGTTAAGAAGAGATTGTGAGAGAGTAAAACCAAGAGAGGAAAAGAGAGCGAAAGTTCGTTCGAAAGCGATCGAAAAGGAGCCAGAGTGCTAAACTTTTAACTCTGCCCTTGCCAAAAAAAAAATTCAATTCTCTACCTGCTTTACCCACATCCCCACGCTCGCCATTGTTGTCACCTAGGTCGCACGCCCGCCGCGGGGCGTTATTATGCAGAAGAAGCCACCACTGCCGTTGACGGCATTCATTGGCGGCCCCACGCTCATACCCGCCTCCCAATCGGCGACCAGTTCGAGCAGCAGCAGCAGCCTTGGCAGTGGAATGTGCTTCCCCAGCAGTAAAAGTGGTAGTGGCAGTGGTGGTGGCACCAGCGGTGGCGGAAATAGCGGAGAAAAACAGCGCGATCGCCATGGTGGCGGTGGAGGATTGTGCGGCTGCCACAAAGCGCCCAAGTCACATTGCATATCGGCGACAGGTGAGTGTAAAAGAGAAGAGAGTAGAAAATGTGGAAAGAGAAGGTAGAGATAGGTAGACAAAGGCAAAGCAGGAGAGAGAGATATAGATGGATAGGATGGAATAGTTAAAGATGGAGAGATAGAGCGAGAGAGAGAGAAATAAACAAAAAGGTAGAGTGAGCTGGCAGAGAGACAGAGCAAGATATAGATAAAAACAGAATTCAAAAGAGACAGGATATATATGGATGAAGGGAGCTAGCTTGAGAGGAAGAGATGGCGGAAATCTGGGGGAGTAAAAATATATAAGAGGAACGAAATTTTTGTGTGACGTGCAGTTGCGAGAGAGAAATGCCAAACGCGAGCAAGAATGGGAAAAGAAAGGCAAGAAAAACGTAAACAATTTACACCAGTGTGACGTCATACAAACAGTGATTCTGTCAAATTCACTGAGAGCGGAAAAGCGGTACCGAGATGAGCGCCACCTTTGTTCACTACATCGTGGGTTAACGATAAAAAAAAATGGATAAGTGGAGCAGAGAGTAGGAAAGTGATATACAGGTGGAACCACGATTGAGAGAAATAGAGGTTGCGCCAATCACGGTACCGCTATTAGCATAGTTGCCAACTTGGTGCTTTAAGCATTAGATTTAGTGCTTTTTGGAAATTAAAACGCCAAAAAAAATTATTTAGTGCCTAGTGCCTTTTATAGTGCTTTTTTTCTGAACTAAAATTACTTCGAGATAGTTGAAACCTGAAATAATTTGAAATTTTTAAGGCTGTGGCAGCACTGAATTTACAAGAACCTACAAATTTAAATGGACTAAAATACAACCATGATTGATAAAAAGCTGAAGTTGCAAACCAACCTTGTTAAATTCTATTCGCGTTGAAAATGCTAGTACGCTAGTAAGTTAAGTATTTCTTTTTTTCTTTTCTAATTATTTGTACAAATGTTTTTTTTTACCACCTGAGTAAAACACATCCTTTCTTGGTGCTGAATCCAAATCTGGCCTCACAATTGCTCTAGCACTAGAATTTTGAGATATCCTAACCTCAAAGTGCCATAAACACGGTTTTTAGCGATATTTGAGGTTATATAATGAAAACATCAAATTATTTGCTCATTTATAATTAGGGCATCATTTTCGTTTGATGCGATTCGATTTTTCTTTCTCGAGATATACCAGTTTTTATGTGCAGTACTTCGGTATTATGTTATGAAAAAGCATCCCTTGATTAAAAAAAATTTGGTGCTTTTAGTGTGGTAAAACGCTTTTTTTCCAAGTTTTTGGTGCTTTTTGAAAATCAAAAGATGGCAACACTGGCTATTAGTGAATTTGACAGAATCGTTGTTTGTATGACGTCACACTTGTGCAACTTGTTTACGTTTTCCTTGCAACATTTTTTCTTCTTCTTTCATTCTTCCTCACGTTTTGGCATTTCTCTCTCGCAATTGCACCAGTGTGACGTCACACAAAAGTTATTCTCGAAAATCCTCTCTGATAGGCGCAATCTTGTATTCTATCATTCTTGGGTGGAATAACATCGATTATTATTAGGAGATTATTAGCTATAAAGAGAGAATAATGGTGATACAGGGGGATAAATATGACAGGGGGATGAATATGGGTTATGAGAGAAAAGGAAAACTATAATAATAATTAAGATTGAGAGAGAAATAGAAGAGAAAAACAAGAGAGAAAAGGTAAGAGCTATAGGGCAGAGAGAAAGAGAGAGCGAAGTAGAGGAAAAATATAATTTAGAGAAACATCATGAAACATCTACCGCTACTCATTTGATTTTCTCACCTCTCATAGGCGTCCTCCTGCTCGTACTACTCTACACCGCTATGGGCTCCATTATTTTCGTCACACTGGAAGGTGAACTAGAGGACACCAGTTCGCTAGAGACGGCAGTGGCGGCGTCGAAAAAATTTCCACGCACCGAGCTGGCCAACGAGCAAATAAGATCGCGGTGAGTAGATACACAGCATTTTTCCTTTTTAGTTATTAATATTAGATACACTCACGCGCCATTCCAACATTAATCCCTTACGACTAACCGCAAAAGTAAAAATGAAAACTATAAAATTGAAAAAAAAAAAAAACAAAACAAAAAATTTCGTTGAGTGCTGCGCTGAGTCGCCTACAATTTCCAGTCACGTTTCGGGCAGTTAAGCACGAAATAGCAAGGTTTTCCGGTGATTGTTGTACAACAGCAACAACAATAAAATAAAAAGTCACTATTTGGAGCAGCAGCGAGTTAGTGATATTTTCGACTCTACACTAAAAGGCGAGTGGTGGGTAAAAGTGTGCTTGTGTAAGACGGCAGTGCAGAACGTGCGATAGTGGTCGCTGGGGGCGCATACATACATACATAAGTGTCATTTTCCTGTCACAGATACTCCAGCCCCAATTACGGCTGTGTGTGCGTGTTTCCGTGTGTATTTTAAGCAAAGTAAAGTAAACTAATTTTTAAATGGAACCTAAATATAGTATCCGATTACAAATTGGCAAAATGGCCGAAATATTTTAGAGCCAATAAACGCATTGGCAAGCCATAGCAAGCGGGCGAGTGTGTGCTGCCAGACAGCCAGCCAACGGGGCGTACAAGTGACAGCATTAGCCGCTAGCTGTGACTGTGCCAGTGGCTGTGGGCTGTGGGCTGTGGGCGGTGGGCGGTGGTGCCCAATGCTGCGTAACAGCAGCGGATGTCTTTCATAGGCGTCAAGTGATAAAATTTAATGTCTGTCGCCTGTCTTCTTAGCCAGTTAGCCAGCTTAAGCCACATTTGCATACCAGCATCGAACGCGCTGTGCTTTTGTTCTACTTTCTCTTAAAGTATTTTTTTTGTTTTTACAAAATTCCTTCACTCTCTTTTCTTTTTTTGATTTCATTACAATTTTAGCTGCTTCCCCTATTTTCCATTATTTATTTTATTATTATTTGCTTATGTTATGTTATTAAAGTTGGGTTTATCTGCGCGCAAATTATTAAAAAAGGAATCTACTAAATGCCTGTAGGGCTTGCTGAAATGACTTGGCTTGGAACTCACTGCGGAGTCGTTTGCAATTTGAGATTTTTGTGCTTATTTTTCAAACCATAAGCAAATATTTTCATAATAGGCAACATATGCTTCTTCATATTCTTACAAAAACATCATTTTTTAATCTTTTTTTTCCGTTTCCATTCTTCATACAAGCGCTATTATATTTTATTAGCCTAGACGAAAGGCAGACATGCCGAACTAAAAATGTATGTACGTATGTACACCACACATGCACTTTTATTGGCATTTTGATGAATAAAATTTTATTAAATGCTTAACGCGCTAGTAGGCGAATTGTCTCTTTCATTAAGAGCCCATATTAGTTCCGAGTATTTTTTTTTTCTTTCTACATTCATACATATGATATTTACATATTGTACGTACATATGTGTATCTAATTAAAATTTTTAATACAATTCCAATTTTTTCAACGTTCAGAAATTACAATTTTTCAAATTCAAAAATTAATTAAATAGTTTAAAATACAAAATTTTAAGGTTTCAAAATTCAGAATGTTATAAAACTAAAAATTAATTTTTTCAGTCTTCAGAAATTAAATATTTTCATTTCCAAAAATCATCCAAAGATTTAAAAATTAAAAATTGTTTCAAAATTCAAAAATTTGTAAAACTGAAAATCAAAAATTGTCTCTTCCAAAAATTAGCTACAGAACCAAAATTCAGAAATCAGTGTTAACAAATTCAAAATTGTTTAAAGCTGAAAATTTGTTTTCTGAAATTCTAGACTTCAATAGAAGAATGCATTACTTAAAATTAAATTAAAAATGCCATGTTCGACATTGAAATTTAAAGTTCGAAGGTAAAATTCCAAAGCTTGAGAATTGAAAATTAAAAACCAAAGTCTTTAGAACTGAGAATACAAAATTTTAAATTTCACAAAAATTCATATTAAAATTTTTAAGTCAAACCTTATAACTGAAAATGTTTCCCAAATTTAAAAACAGAACTCGAACCTCAAAATTAAGTAATAGGAATATAACTTTCAAATAAAAAAATTAGGTATTCTAATTCTAACCACAAACAACAAATTGTCAATTAAATTTCAAAATATGAAACTTAAAAACGAAATTTAATTTGAAATTAAAAGGCAAAATTCGAAGTCAAAAAATTAATTAAATTTAATTAAATATATTTTAGACAATTTTTTTACATACAATTAAAAAAAAAACTATTTTAAACACACTTACTGCCGGTTTCATCGCCAATTTAAATGGAAAATAACCTTTCATTTTCTGTCAGTTTCCATATAAAATTCAATAAATGAAAATAACTTTCCACTTAAATTGCTTTCGTGAAATTGGCTGTTAGGAATTAGGAATGAGAAAGAATGATTGAGCAAATGAAAATGAGCGAAGATTTTTTGTATGAAAAATGAGCGGAATAGAATGTTACTTATGCGCCATGTGTACACTCTTCCCTGTTCATATTTCATACAAAAGGTCCTTGCGCATTTTCATTTGACCAGTCAATCCTTTTTTATCTATCAAATAAAAATATTAGAATTTTTCCCTGTTAACGTTTGTAAACCAGTGTAATTAGAATGTAGAAATTCCAAATTTAAAACCAAATTTTTTAAAATTTAAATAAGCATTTGAAAATTAGTTCAAAATTTTTTTTTACCAAAAATCAATATATGAACCAAGTTGTTGTTACTGAACAGCTCAAAATCCCAAACAAAATTGATGTTTCCGAATTTTTAAAGACTAAATTCTAATCTAGAATTCTATAAGATAGAAGCGTGAAAATATTTAGAGCTTGCATAAAAATAGTTAAATTTTAATATAATGAAATAAAATCTCAAAATTCTGGCCACTTAACTCAAATTCCCAAATTCAATAATAAACACTGGATTGCTAGTAAAAACCCAAAATGTTGAATAAAAATTTAAAGTTCAAAGACAATTTTGAAATCCAAATCTACTTGAAGAAACCAATCTCAAAAATTAAATTGTAATTAAAATTTTACAACCAAGAAAAGAAGTAAATAAAAAATTAAATTTTGAGCACTCAAGCTTAAAATCTAAAACGCTGAGTTCAAAGTGCGAAGTTCAAAAATATATAAAATATATAAAAATTTCCGTGCTTCCCTTCCGAAGTACGGTCTTTAGTCACATCGTCTGCTCGCTCTCATTTTAAGAAAATTCTCAACTTTTTTATTGGTCTGCGCGCGCAATGCTAAATTTATGGCTTCGTCTTTATTTACGACTACGACTAATTGAAATAAATTCACGGTGATTATTATATTTGGCAAATTTTCAGGGGCTCTGATTATTTATTTCACACATTTCACACAACAATCCAACAAATGGCGTACAAACATGCTGTCCATTACTAAAATTACAGTAATTTGGCTATGAGTTGGACGCTCGAAGGAGAACTCGAAAGTAGCAGCAATCATTTTCTTGTGTGTGTGTGTGTGTGTGTGCCTGCGAGTGTATTTAGCTATCTACCCTCATTGAAAGATATAATTGCCCTACTAAATAACCACACTAGTAGCTATTACACCAACAAAACAGCGCCCCCAACAACAATAACAACAACTAGCTTACTGTGGGGCGACCCTACTTTGGTCTTCACAGCGACGGCGCAGCAACGTAGCAACCCAAACGAACTCACTTCAACTTGACGTGAACATAATTTAAGGTGTAAAACGTGATTTGTGTTGACTGCAAATGAGTTCAGGTACGCGAGAGTGCGTAAGTGTGCGTGCAGCTGTGTATGTATGTGTCTGTGTAGGTGTGTGTGTGTGCTCATGCAACTAACAACATTTGTCCTACTTGTTACCTGTCTTGTTAATGCCCGACTTATAACAGCTCTATAAAGGTCTCATGATGGATTTATTTTCAAGTAATTGCTTTGCTTTGCATTAATAAATTCTGTCGCCTTCTCTCTCTCCCTCTCTCTGTCTCTCTATCGCTCTTCCGCTTGCAATTATTGTGAATTGTATTAATAATTGGTGTTGTTGTAGTTATTTGTAACTGTTGGCGCTGACGTTGTTATGTGGCAAATATTTGTGTACTTTCAACAGTTAAATATGTGTTTTGATAATTCGGTACTGAATATTTGTAATTGTTATCTTTGTGTTTGTGTTGTTGGTATGTATGTACATACATATGTATGTATGTATCCATTGTGTTGCAACTAAGTCGGCTTACAGTGCGTATACGTAATATATGTGTACGAATGATTGGGGAATGACAGAGCGTATACGTAGTATTTGTAAACGGTTGAGAGAACAAATAGTTTGAATAAGACTAATATTTATGTTATTTAACAGAATTGAAGGGAGAATTATTCATTGTGTTGTAATAGGTAAACTGAATAGAATTAATTCACACAACACAATTTCGTAAATAGTTTGACCTGATTAAAAAGCGGTAATTGAATTTAAGTTTCAATTTCGTACTTCGAATTTTAAAATTTAATCACAAATTTTGTTCTCAATTTTTCAAAAGCTACTGGAGAAAGTAGCTCTTATAGCCAGCTTCATGAAAGCAATTTTAGTGAAAAATGGATGTTGTATTTGAATTAAATATGGAAACTGACAGAAAAAATATAATTTTTCACTAAATTGCGTTGGTGAAAGCGGCAGTAAGAATTTTTAAACATGTTAAGTTTAAATTTTACATTAAAATTTAAGACTTTGAATAAATGACGTGATTCTAAATTTT